CCACAAGAATGAGGGAAGGAGATATACCGTCAGTACTGGATCTAGTATTCACCAGGAAAGAAGAAGAGATTTTTGACATCCAGTACCTTCCTCCCTTGGGAAAGAGTGATCACGTCCTGTTAGACATTAAATATGCTTTAAGATATCATCTAGAAGAAAATGGGGACATTGAAACAGTTGATAAACTCGATTTAAGGAGAGGCAACTATGGGGAACTTCGAAATTTTTTTAATGAGTGTAATTGGACAGAATTGTTGCTAGGCAGGGAAGTAAATGAAATGTATGCCAAATTTTTAAAACTATACGAGGAAGGCACACAAACATTCATACCAAAACAGAGATGCAGGGCCAGAAAACAGGATTGGTTCGACAGAAATTGTGAGAGGGCAAGAGACCAAAAGACACAAAAATGGAATCAGTATAGGAAGAGGCCAAACCCCCAAACATACCAGCGATACAAAGATGCGAGAAACAACTATACAGCAGTAAGGAGAGAGGCAGAAAGAAATTTTGAAAAAGGGATAGCAGATAAATGTAAAACAGAACCGGGCCTATTCTACAAATTCATAAACAACAAATTGCAGGTAAAGGATAATATCCAGAGGTTGAAAATGGGAAACAGATTCACGGAAAATGAAAAGGAAATGTGTGAAACATTAAATGAAAAGTTCCAAAGTGTGTTTGTACAAAATGAAATCTTCAGAGAACCAGACACAATAAGAATTCCAGAGAACAACATAGAGCGGATAGAGGTGTCTAGAGATGAAGTGGAAAATATGCTAAAGGAGCTCGGGAAGAACAAAGCAGCTGGCCCAGATGGCGTTTCACCATGGGTTCTGAGAGAATGTGCATCTGAGCTCAGCATTCCACTTCACCTGATCTTTCAGGCATCCCTGTGTACAGGAATCGTAGCAGACGTGTGGAAACAGGCTAACATAGTTCCAATCTACAAAAGTGGCAGCAGGGAAGACCCCCTTAATTATAGACCTGTATCATTGACAAGTGTAATAGTGAAAGTATTGGAAAAGCTAATCAAAACTAAATGGGTAGAACACCTGGAGAGAAATGATATAATATCAGACAGACAGTATGGTTTTCGATCTGGAAGATCCTGTGTATCGAATTTACTCAGTTTCTATGATCGAGCCACAGAGATATTACAGGAAAGAGATGGTTGGGTTGACTGCATCTATCTGGACCTAAAATAGGCTTTCGACAGAGTTCCACATAAGAGGTTGTTCTGGAAACTGGAAAATATTGGAGGGGTGACAGGTAAGCTTCTAACATGGATGATAAATTTTCTGACTGATAGAAAAATGAGGGCAGTAATCAGAGGCAATGTATCGGAATGGAGAAATGTCACAAGTGGAGTACCACAGGGTTCAGTTCTTGCACCAGTGATGTTTATTGTCTACATAAACGATCTACCAGTTGGTATACAAAATTATATGAACATGTTTGCTGATGATGCTAAGATAATAGGAAGGATAAGAAATTTAGATGACTGTCATGCCCTTCAAGAAGACCTGGACAAAATAAGTATATGGAGCACCACTTGGCAAATGGAATTTAATGTTAATAAATGTCATGTTATGGAATGTGGAATAGGAGAACATAGACCCCACACAACCTATATATTATGTGAGAAATCTTTAAAGAATTCTGTTAAAGAAAGAGATCTAGGAGTGGTTCTAGATAGAAAACTATCACCTAAGGACCACATAAAGAATATTGTGCAAGGAGCCTATGCTATGCTTTCTAACTTCAGAATTGCATTTAAATACATGGATGGCGATATACTAAAGAAATTGTTCATGACTTTTGTTAGGCCAAAGCTAGAATATGCAGCTGTTGTGTGGTGCCCATATCTTAAGAAGCACATCAACAAACTCGAAAAGGTGCAAAGACATGCTACTAAGTGGCTCCCAGAACTGAAGGGTAAGAGCTACAAGGAGAGGTTAGAAGCATTAAACATGCCAAAACTAGAAGACAGAAGAAAAAGAGGTGATATGATCACTACATACAAAATAGTAACAGGAATTGATAAAATCGACAGGGAAGATTTCCTGAGACCTGGCACTTCAAGAACAAGAGGTCGTAGATTTAAACTAGCTAAACACAGATGCCGAAGAAATATAAGAAAATTCACCTTCGCAAATAGAGTGGTAGACGGTTGGAACAAGTTAAGTGAGAAGGTGGTGGAGGCCAAGACCGTCGGTAGTTTCAAAGCGTTATATGACAAAGAGTGCTGGGAAGACGGGACACCATGAGTGTAGCTCTCATCCTGTAACTACACTTAGGTAATTACCTGTTGATAGACGGTTGAGAGGCGGGACCAAAGAGCCAGAGCCCAACCCCCGCAAGCACAACTAGGTGAGGACATATATTGTAAAAGTACAAATCGCCGACTAGTGGGCAGAGAGCACCACGCAGGCCAGGCAAAGAAGGCACAAAACTGCATCAAAAGGCCCACCTCGACAACAAAACCTCAAAGTTCCAGCATGACCACAACATGTGCCAAGACCCAAAAAGATCAGTCTGCAAGCCAGGAAGACCCCGGAACTCCAGAAGGCAGAACCGGGTCACACATGAGGAAACAAAGTCCCCTGAACCCACAAAAGGGGGCCCAAGAGGAAGAAACCTCCAGAACGAAACCAAGGAACCCAAAGGAACCCAGAATCGAACCAGGGGGAGCCCAAACCACCACATTTGCCGGCGGAGAACACCACTGAAAGGCAAAGCACAGCCCCCAGCAGAACCCCCTGGGAAAAGGGTCCCAACAGACCGAAAACCGAGGGACAAAGTGTGGGAGCAAGCATACCAGCCAGGGGCACTGAGCCTAAACCCAAAGGCTCAGACCCAAAACAGAAAAATTGGAAAAACCCGTTGTAAAATCAACACCCAAACGTTCCCAGAGGAACAGGCAACGGCAAGAAAACACCAGAAAAACAAAGAAACGACAACAGCAGAACAAAAACCCTGAAAAAAATTTGAAAACTCACCCGAGACGCTCGCTTGCACACCCAGACGCATGTAAACAAACCGCAACGCCGCCCTGGTGGCCACACCGTGAAACCGGCAGACGAAAATGGCCGCCAGCAGGGGCTGTGACTGACGCTAAATACACAAAAATACCCCAGCAAATGTGGGAAGCTAGCAGACTGGATGGGCGAAAAACGTCGCCCAACAGCAGAACAACCCCGGCAGGGGCAAAATCACCCCAGAACTGCTAGCAGGCATGCCCCACAGCCCCGGGAACCAACAACAGAGGCCCCGGGGCAGAGCCGTCCTCCAAGCCCTCCGCCCTTAAAGAAAAGCAAGAGTCCATGGGAAAGGCAACAAGAAAGAGCCGCTGGTAGGACCCAGAAGCCTTGGCAGGAGGCACAGGCTCAAACCTCCGTCCCCAACCCGAACGGGGCAGCCCCCGAAAACCGCCCGAGTCTCTGACGCAAGTAAACCCCGCCCCGACCCCGAAACCCGCAGACGGTCCGGAGCCGGGAACATGGAGGAAAAGGGGCAAACAGCACCTAACCAAACGGGGCGGCCACGGGGCATTCGAGTGGGAAACCAACCTAGCATGTTGCAGCAACCTAACCAAGCTTGCAACACGGATGCCGCCTGTACTCAGAACAGTAATAACATCAGGAGAGTACTGGAGAACAAGCAGAGAATCACTCGCAAGACTCCGGGTCAAGGTGTCAGTGACCCAACAGGCAGCATGACGGAGGTAAAAATGGTGACTGTCACCCGGACACAAGGGAACAGCAACCAACGATCCCGTACAAGACGGGTTGGAACCCGGAAGACACATGCAATGGTCCCCCGAGCCCAGACAGGGGTTTCCAGGGCCCGTAGGGTAACAACTACGGGAAGCCCGGGCAAGGTGTTGCTAACCGGTTAAGAAACCCAAACATAACAAGAGGGTAGATTATAGCACTGAAAACCCCTGAGACGTGTACCTAGCAGAGGGCCGCCAAACACTACCAGTGGAACTATAACCACCTTAGGCAGACCCCACCAGGCATGAAAAATTAAAAACAAAAGAAAACCCCCGCAAAAGTACACCGTCTCCAGAGGCAACAGAAACCGGCCGCCGCTTAGGTGGCAGGCTGTGCAACACCTTGACGCCCTAACCAGCACAATACCAATCCCTACCCAGGGCCAAACAAGGGCCCCAAGCCCCAGCTGGCCCAAGGGCGAGGCAAATGCCGAGCAGCAAGAACCTCTACAGGAATGGTTCCCGAACGCCCCAGGGAAGATAACCCTGTTACGCAAGGGCAGTACTCACAGGGCGCTTAGGGAAGTCAGCCACTAAGCACATGCAGCCCCGGCACTGATGAAGTACTCCTGGCCACCGCACAACACAACACACGGCAGTGAACGCCACACAAGGCAAACACCGCCTAGGAAACTGAGGCCAGAGAAGCGTCAATCCCGGTTGACATTAGCGAATGAACTGGAGCTTGGCAGCCGGCGCTGTAGGTCCGGGGCTCCCCCCTCCCCCTCCCGGGGCGGGGAGGGCTGCGCGGACGATCGGCGCGGCAGTAAAGTGTGATGTTTGTGATGTTTGCTTGTTTGCTTGTTTGCTTGTTTCCTTGTGATTGTGGGGAGTTTCTACCTCTATGTTCGGTTTTTGTTTTAGTTTTTACCATGTGGGGTTTGTTTTGTTATGCCTACCTTTCTGGGTGCCTAACCCCGGTCGATGGCAGATAAGGAAAACCCCAACCACAAGGGGTTTTCCAGGGCCATTGCTCCCTGAAACCTCTCTGAAGGGGCCAGGTTCTGGCACTGGTCCCTAGTAGGTCTGAACTCCTTAGGTAATGTCCTGGTCTAATATAACATACATTAGCCCGATAAGCTCCAGGGAGCCGTAGGGGCTCCCCACAGAAAACTCTATTGTGCTGCTTAATGGCTAACAAATGCTAACACTAAAAAATATGACCATATAGCTACTGCAAAAATTAACCATAATGTTACTAGAAAGAAAGATATTCACTGACCTTGGCCAACAGCCACTCAAACCAGGCAAAGAGAGGAGGGTAATCAAGAGTCCATTCTGACGTCTGCTCAAAATACCACTTATCAATGGGAAGACTGTGAGTAATGGCCAGCCAGTTGCGATGCACCTCAAAATCTGTAGAGTGGCTGTAACAGCACAAAATTGCTTAATTTCTTAGGATACTAAAAGGTATTACATACAATAATAAAAGTTAAAAATACTACAAAGCAAGTCAATCATATAAGAAAGTAAAGTAATGAATATTATTTGTTGAAATCCAATAAACTACCTGGCATCAAATAGGGATGATGGGCATCAGGCATCAAATCTTTTACAATAACTGCTTTAAAAATTTATTAATAAACCAGCGTTGAATGTAATTAAACGCCATTTTCTGGGTGAGACCCGGAGGCTCCCTGGAGCTTACTAGACCGATATGCTAATGTCAGACTTTGCCATCAGTCATGTGTATGGAGTTCTGTGAGCCTACCGGGGACTGCGAGCCAGAACCTGGCCCCCTCAAACAGGCATGGGGACCAATGGCCTATAGAAACCCCTGTGTGGTTGGAAGCATTCTATGTCTGCCATTGACCGGGTCAGGCACCCAGAAAGGTAAGCTTCTAAAACAAATCCCTATTCTGGTAAAAATTGTTGTTACCAAAAGCAGAACAAAGGGATAGAACTCCCCTAAAAGAAACGAGCAAACGATCATGACGTCACATGTCACCTCGCCGCTGTCTGCGCAGCTCCCCCCTCCCCCAGGAGGGAGAAGAGGGAGCCCCAGACTCTTCACGCCAGCTATCCACCCATCAGTTCTGAGGCTGGATGTCAAAACACTAAAAAAAAATGCCGACCGGGGGGAGGGAGGGATGCCGGGGAGCCTCCGGGTCTCACCCCGAAAATGGCGTTTCATTACATTCAATGCTGGTTTTCTGGGGGAAACGCCTTCGGCTCCCCGGAGCTAACTACCCACAGAGGAAGAACGCAGGGACTTACCCGGGAGGTGGTTGTTGCTCACTCCACAATTCGAAGTTGAGACAACTGGCTGCAACCACCGACACAAAACGACACAGGCCCGACTAGGCCTAGGAACGTGCACGAGGCAACAAGCAGCCAGGACCCTGTTCGACCGCCTAAAGCCCCGCGCTCGAATGTCAGCCCAGGACATGGTGCCAAAGCAGTTGCCCCTCATGCTAGAGGAGAAGGAGCAGGTAGGATGTATCAATCTTCCTGTTCAACATAGGCCTAGGCCTAAGGTCTAATCTTTAGTGCGCCAAATAGGTCACCAACAGCGGTACTAAGTGTGCACCTCCCCTCCTACTAACTGTGGTAGGCCGTGGATGTGTGAATTGGCCAGAAATTAAGACAGTAATTCTTTATGTGGCAATATCGAGGCACGCTGAGGGGAGCGTTGTGAGGTAGGTGGGCTGCCCCACAGTACCTGGGGCCCCAGGCATCACTCGTGTGTAATTACCTAAGTGTAATTACCTAAGTGTAGTTACAGGATGAGAGCTACGCTCGTGGTGTCCCGTCTTCCCAGCACTCTTTGTCATATAACGCTTTGAAACTACTGACGGTCTTGGCCTCCACCACCTTCTCACTTAACTTGTTCCAACCGTCTACCACTCTATTTGCGAAGGTGAATTTTCTTATATTTCTTCGGCATCTGTGTTTAGCTAGTTTAAATCTATGACCTCTTGTTCTTGAAATTCCAGGTCTCAGGAAGTCTTCCCTGTCGATTTTATCAATTCCTGTTACTATTTTGTATGTAGTGATCATATCACCTCTTTTTCTTCTGTCTTCTAGTTTTGGCATATTTAATGCTTCTAACCTCTCCTCGTAGCTCTTGCCCTTCAGTTCTGGGAGCCACTTAGTAGCATGTCTTTGCACCTTTTCCAGTTTGTTGATGTGCTTCTTAAGATATGGGCACCACACAACAGCTGCATATTCTAGCTTTGGCCTAACAAAAGTCATGAACAATTTCTTTAGTATATCACCATCCATGTATTTAAATGCAATTCTGAAGTTAGAAAGCATAGCATAGGCTCCTTGCACAATATTCTTTATGTGGTCCTCAGGTGATAGTTTTCTATCTAGAACCACTCCTAGATCTCTTTCTTTATCAGAATTCTTTAAAGATTTCTCACATAATATATAGGTTATGTGGGGTCTATGTTCTCCTATTCCACATTCCATAACATGACATTTATTAACATTAAATTCCATTTGCCAAGTGGTGCTCCATATACTTATTTTGTCCAGGTCTTCTTGAAGGGCATGACAGTCATCTAAATTTCTTATCCTTCCTATTATCTTAGCATCATCAGCAAACATGTTCATATAATTCTGTATACCAACTGGTAGATCATTTATGTACACAATAAACATCACTGGTGCAAGAACTGAACCCTGTGGTACTCCACTTGTGACATTTCTCCATTCCGATACATTGCCTCTGATTACTGCCCTCATTTTTCTATCAGTCAGAAAATTTTTCATCCATGATAGAAGCTTACCTGTCACCCCTCCAATATTTTCCAGTTTCCAGAACAACCTCTTATGTGGAACTCTGTCGAAAGCCTTTTTTAGGTCCAGATAGATGCAGTCAACCCAACCATCTCTTTCCTGTAATATCTCTGTGGCTCGATCATAGAAACTGAGTAAATTCGATACACAGGATCTTCCAGATCGAAAACCATACTGTCTGTCTGATATTATATCATTTCTCTCTAGGTGTTCTACCCATTTAGTTTTGATTAGTTTTTCCAATACTTTCACTATTACACTTGTCAATGATACAGGTCTATAATTGAGGGGGTCTTCCCTGCTGCCACTTTTGTAGATTGGAACTATGTTAGCCTGTTTCCACCCGTCTGCTACGATTCCTGTACACAGGGATGCCTGAAAGATCAGGTGAAGTGGAATGCTGAGCTCAGATGCACATTCTCTCAGAACCCATGGTGAAACGCCATCTGGGCCAGCTGCTTTGTTCTTACCGAGCTCCTTGAGCATTTTTTCCACTTCGTCTCTAGACACCTCTATGTGTTCTATGTTGTTCTCTGGAATTCTTATTAATATAGTGTAATAAATAAATATAGTGTATAGTTAATATTATAGTGTAATATAGTCTTTGTGCCCTCCCTTCCCAAGTTCGCGGTTTGTGTGTGAGACTAGTGTGTTTACACGAGAGACTGCCAGGACACCCCATACTGTATAGTACCCCTACACTACATGTGAGAACTGTGACCCTAGTGCCTTGCGGGTGTCTATATGTGTATGTATGTGCGGGGTAGAGTACAGTGTTGAAGACATACCACCCAAGACACATATGAAATGAGCCGCAGCAAATAGATGGATCGTGTAATGCGAAGTCAGTCGAGACAACATGTGAGCATGACTAGTGTGCCCAGGAACCGTAACAGCCTCCCCCCCGGCGTGGACTCCCTTCCCCGCTAGGGGCCCTCAGGTACAGATCCCAACCCAGGGCCCTCCAGTGAGGATCCCAACCCAGGGCCCTCCAACAGTAATGGTACAGGTGACTCTACAACAGAGGATGATGGTAACTTCCAAGTAGTCCAAAGCAGAAACAGCATGAAACAGGACAGGTTATAGCGACAGGGTGAGCAGCAACAGCTTGCAACAACAACAACAACAACAACAACGACGACAAGACGAAGACAGTGAGTGGCACACCCTAATCTTTCCTGCAATGGGACTGACAGCAGCAGAGAAGTACATATGGATTATTAAGGCCGTCCACACCCACAGAGCGGTGTATCGCATAGAGAGCAGGTGTGTAGGTGGCAATGTTAGCGCACAAGTGCAGGGTTACAGTGCCCTGAAGTACTTCACAGAGACCCTGAAGTACTTCACGGTCTCGAGTAACAAAGTAAGGATGTTAAATTGTTGGAAGCAAACCCACAGACAAGACAAACTAAAATCATAATCAAGAACTACAGTATTCATGTTGACGTGGAATTTCTCCAGGACTATGAACAGATTGTTTGGGTCAAGCGCAACACTGGACCAGGGGGGACTGCCCAAAAATCAAGCAATTGCTCTGTGGAAGGGAGACCTGCCCCCAGTCATTAAAATACCAGGCATGAGGGCATGCAAAGTCGAGAGGTATATTGGCAGTCTGTCCTTATGTGGCAACTGTCAACGCTGGGATCACAGAAAGTGGCAATGTGATCACCCAATTAGGTGTGGGTGTTGCAGTGGCTCTCACGACACCAAGCAGTGTCTGGCCAAGCTTACACCGGATGGGGGTGGCGGCGTAATACCCAAATGTGTCAACTGCAAGCAGCCCGTCATGTCTGGAACAGGTATTGCAGCAAGAAGCCTGACTGGCAGGGCTTGAGGACACCGACGCGAACAGCAGGTGAACCAGTGAACAGGGGCGGGAATGGCTCCGTGAACAGTACCACAGCAAGCCAGGGTCCAGCCTACAGTAGGCAGACAATAGCCTGGGGTAGTGGTGGAGTGACCCACCACCACCCCACACAGGCCCAACCAGACCCCCTTCCTCTCACAAACTCACTCACCTCTACCCCACTCACCAACCCCAACCCTACCTCACTCACTAACCCCAACCCAACCCCACTCAACAACCCTATTCCTGCCTCATCACCATTACCCCCTAACCCCTCCCAGTCAACCAGCTCTTCTGCCTTTCAGGTGACCCTCCCTCCCTCCCTCCCAACCAACCACTCCCTCCCCTTCTCACCCACCTACCACTCCCCCCACCCTCCTCCTCACTCACCAGCCAACACTTTACTGGATCCAGATAAAACAATGCCGCCCAATATGGAAGCAATGATTACCCACGTGATAAAAAATCACTCATTCATGCAAGAATTAATGACCAAACAAAATAAACTTGAGAATACCCTATGTACAATCCAGAAGACTCAGGACATACTTTAAATTCTGCAGGGCCTGAACTTGTCTCAGGCGAGCTCAGCAGGTTGCAACTTAGTGTATGAGGATGCAACACGAGCCAAGGCACATAACAGCAGACTCAGTGCTATCGTTGGCCCAGTGAACACATCAACACCAATGAATACACCACCACTAGTGAACACAACACCACCACCAGTGAACACAACGACACTAGTGTACACAACACCATTGACCACTCGCACAA